GCGTTTTATATGATTTCAATTTTCAAATCCAAATAAATGATATCTTGTTTCCTTTCTACCTTAATAATTATAAACGTTTGCTTCACTTCAGTCAGCTTTAAAGACATTGGAAAGAAAATGCGTTGAACAAGTTTTGTTGCTTGAGATACAAAGAAACCGATCCACCATCATTTTTTTTTATTTTCCCAATGTAATTAACTAAATTAATAATCAAAATTTAGGAATTTAAAATCTAACAAGTTCTACATTTGTCTATAAACGTCAAGATCGCCCATTTTTTTATTATTTTGAATCTACAAATTTATACATTCCAACTTTTGTAGATTTAACAATTATACTTGGTGGCCCCTAGCTATACATACAATGAAAAAAAAAATTATTATAGAGTAAAAATTGGAATGTATAAAATTTAATTGTTAAATCTACAAATTTATACATTCCAACTTTTACTCTATAATAATTTTTTTTTCATTGAATGTATAGGAGCCACGCTTTTCGTAATTTATTTAGAACTTGCACGTACGATTATATATAAATATATGGAGGATCCGGTTATTCATATACCATAAAACTCATTCTAAAGCAAAGAGAAGGATTAAAGAAGATGTCCAAAAAAGGAGAACATTCGGGAGCTAAGCAAGTGCAACCACCCAAACCCAAAATATCTTTCTTGGATCTCCTCTTTATCATAAATGTGGAGACAAAAGCAAAGAACATAGCACTAGCGACACCTAGTAGGGAGCTCAAGCTTGTTTCTAATGATCGGTTCCATGTACAAATCGAACACTTGAGCGATTTAGGATTTTTCAAGTCTGATATGAATGATGTAAAGATCAATTGTGAAGTAGTTTCTATGGGAGATTCGGATGATTCCGTCAAAATATTTGAGGCTCGAAGGTCATTAGACAAAAATTCTAGATGGTTGATCAATGATCTTCTTGCTCCACAAGGTCTTATCAGAAGTGGCCTAGTCGCCGACATCAAATTGAGTTTCAATGGCGACTTACTTGATAAGATCGGGTTTGAGATATGTACCGAACAAGACCGGAGATATTATTCCGTTGATGATACTCTTAGATACCTTCAATGTTTCTTTGATGATGTGACAAAAAAAAGAAGATACCTATGTTTCTTTCCCTAGAAATATATACGTATCTATTATTAGTTATATATGCAAAAGTCTTATACTATATATTGTATGCGTTTTATTTGGTTCATATGATTTCATATCCA